AGGCTTTTTACCAATAATTCGGTGCCTTGGATACATGTTATGCAAAGTGACAGTAACTTTCGATGTGCAAAACAGATACCATTGTGGGATTTATCCTTTGTAGGTTTGTTGTTGTAAGATATCAGTATTTTATATTCTGTATAAAGCCGTCCAAAAATAGATTATAACTTTAGAGTAGCCTAACTGCCATTGAATAAATTAGTTTACATTCTATATAAATTAAATTTCTTTACCAAGTCAGATAATTACAAGTGTCGTAGCGGAACGGATAGCAGAGTCTAAGAGTACATAAGTGAAAACTTGCTATTTTATTCGATCCAAATCACTTACGGTCCAACACTCTGCCAGCATGACCGGTTCGAAAGGGATGGATAGTTTCGAATTGGCTTATTCTTTTCTTGTACGCTTTAATTGAAAATGATTATCTGATCATTAATGCTTTTTATTTACGGACTTCAGGTATTTTCGATTTTATTTTCTTCTCTAAATTTCAGTGTTAAAAAAAAATTACTTATTTCCCGATCGCTTACTTAATGGCTGATTTCATATTTATGCTTTCTTTACTTTTCAGTATAGTTTATTTTATCTTAATTTAGTGTTAAATTATGATAGCTTTTCAATTTTTAAAACGTTTATCATGATTGTTGCTACTGTCTATATCATTTCTGTTATAAGATTTAGCGCAATAGATACTGAATATTCTTTTATAATCTCTAAAACCGTCACCGTTTATAGTTTACTCAGCAGGATAATCATAGGAATATTTTAAGTTTTAATTTCTTTCATTCCATTTTTAATCATTATTATCGATATATTCATTTGAAAAAATGCTGAGAAGAGCTCTCTTCTATCTAGTAGACTTAATAACATGACTGTAGATTCAAATAATAAAAAGAATATCGTTCTTATTTCATTATTTTGTGCCATCTTTATTTTTAATAATACATAAGCTCGCCTTTGCAAGTATAAGAAAAACTTTGTTATATAGACGACTAAATGCAGACCATAAGGAAGAAAATAAGAGAAAAAATCGATATCATATTGCTTTTTTCTTCATTTGTATGGTTAAAATTTCAAGCATCTAGCCACTTAAAGGATGCAATTATAATCTGAATCGTATGTTAAATTTATAATTATGTCCAAATTGGATGGCTTTCTTTTGATATTCTCATTCCTACAGCTACTGATCTTTTTCTTAAATCATGCGTTTTTTGAAATTCTTTCGAGTTGCTATAGTTTGTACTACCATTGCATTCAAAGATTTTATAGATGAAGTAGCTGAATATCTTAAATATCCTTTAAGAGAAGTTATAGAAGATCAAACGTACCGGTATTAGACATCAAATTACGTTGGATTTACTTTTGTAGACTAGTTAAAGATACATATCTTGCTTAAATGAACTTCAGTAATTAAGAAAACACCTAGCAACAACATGCTTACTACTTTTATTTCTATACTATAAAATTACTGGAAATAATTGCTTAAGAAATGGTAAATACTTTTCTAGGTAACAATTAGCAAATGAATTATTTATAGGCTACCAATATATGCAAGTCTCCCAAACGCAATTTACTCTAGCGTATAGCACCTGCTGTTTAAGTGATAAATTTCATTATCTGCTGAAACCGTTCAGAAATTTTTAAAATAATAGAATAACTTTTATTATGATATTCATCAGAGAAGATCTTGAGTTAGAGATTTTGTAACTTAATAAAAATCTTTAAACTTTTGTTTATAGCTCAATTATAATGAATTAAAGTAATTTGATAATAGTTTTGAGGAGCGCATCAATTCGCGAAGCAATCAATCACTTTCCATTGACTCTATAAATAAGTCATTAGATTAGAGCAGCAGCAGAATCTCGTCTTATTCATCCTTTAGCTAAGTTACTGAATGAATTTAATCTAACATCAATTTCGTAACTCTCAACTTTGTTACTCTTAATCTTCTATCCTTGCAAGATACCTTATTGCGATATTCTTAATATTTATTTGCTGTAGTGCAGCCCCAAATATAGCTTAGATTACTATTATAAGACTGTATGAGAATAACTTAACTTGTAAGCTAGAGTGTAAGATTGTCAGATAGTCAGATAGTCCTTGGTTCTGATGGCCTAGCAATTCGGCCTAATGCTTGGGTTAGTATTTCTACAGCCTGAGAAAAGGATGATTCTCTGGACTATTCTTGCGGTTTCTCTTGAAGGATTCTTTCCATTAGCTTCAAGCTAATTTCCTCTTTCTTCTTTAAATTCGAGATGTCAACGTTTAGTCTTCTAGCTTCTTCTTTAAATTCTTCCAGCTTCATCTGGGAGATCTTCAAGCATTGCTCGCTAATACTTGTCATTGCGGTTGCCATCTTCTTAGTCATCCTACTCGCAGCGCCAAATGTAATAAAGTGAAATTTGTAAGAAACTGTAGTTCTTGATTTATTGTTTTGAAGATCACTTTATCACAATTGCATAATAAGTTATGATATTCATTTGCTATCAAAAGAAAAGTAAAGATTTTTCTTGATATTTTAAGTCTCGCTTTGAATATGTAATAAATGACTCCCTAATTTATTATCAGCAAGAATAAAGATACTGTGCAATAATAAAATACCGTTGTATATATGTGTAATGTAACTTAGTATTGTGATTGTAGACTGTTAGCCATGTTTAGTATAATGTACGGTAGATATTTATCCTAAGAGATATTTGGTAGCCATAACTATAGTCTATAGTGGTATAGACTCTATGCTAGAGTACAGATGACTATATGAACGTGACCGTATGCAAAATGACAATACAAGTAGAATTGTGTTACTAAGAATAATTTACTATGTCTAAAATAATGTAAAAGGTTGCCATGCGGATTGTAGCTGCGAATGCTACTAAAAGTATAAAAGCCTGCAACTTTAGATTATTCTGTTAGTTCGTTGTAGAAGTCTTTAGAAGTAGTATTCGGCTAGAGTAGAGCTGTGAGTAGTTAATCTTTGTATAAGATTCAATAAAGCCCTTATTTTTCTAAAATTTGGAATCTCGTGATTGGTATATATCACAATTATGTACAGAACTACTTTGCTCCTACCAAATGCGATTACATATTAAATATAAAAAATTTTATTACATTATGTTGATTATCACGCTTTAAATTCTTTATCTTACATGCATTACCTCTTGAAAGCTAGTAAATTATTTTTGGAGAAACTATTGCCAGATAGAAAATCGCAAGACTGACTTGGGGGTAGCTTATTCCTTACAAGTTTCATGAACAGTGTTATGTCTGCAGGTAATCTTCAATAACATTGAATAAATACTTGATCATCGAGAAGCTACGCGAAATTTTACTTACTTAAAAGCTGTATGTGACAATTAACTAATTATTGCATCATCAATGATATAATTTTGTTGAGTAATGAATCATATGTTAACACCTAGCCATTAATTAACTACTATGAAATGCCATAGAAAGTGTGTTGTGATTCTTGCTATATTCAGCATGTAGACTTGGCTATAAATTTATTATTGTTTTACACCAACGAAGTTTGTGAGTCTATATAAAAGCCTCAAAGTTCTTAATTAAGGGAGTTGATAAGTTAGTCGATAACAGACGGTTATCAGTGGTTAGTAGTAGATTGTAAGTTGTGAGTTCAATCGTTCATTTTAATAAATAGCTTTTAGAGTAAAGTTTTGATTTTTAGCGTGAGTATTTTATCGTCTAAGACTCGAACCTAAGTTTGGTAAATTAAAGAGTGCTTAGAGTTAGTTGCTTAGATAGTTAAGACTACTTTAGAGGATAGAATCCCGTTAATTTTTGTGTTGCAATCTCAGTTGTGACATAATTGGTGGCAGCGGTGGGATTCACCCAACACTATTAGCTAGTGCCGTAGTGAACGAAGACAACTTTTTGTATTGAGTATGCTTCATATGAAATGCAAGGCAATCTTATCAAAGTAATCAATTAGATAGAAAGATTTTAATGAGTTATGATTATAAATTATTCTCTTAAATAGGGATATTACAAAGATTTATTGATGATATAAATCAATATAAAGAATAATGATGGGAAACGACAGAATTCATCATACTGACTTCATTTTTATCCTTATGTCAATATTGATATTAATAATCGATGTCATAATTTTTTCCCTGCAGTGACCAATCGCAAGAATTGCATTTATAAATTAACATAGTTATGATAATTCCAATGCAATCGGAAATCAGCATCAAGGTGAAGTTGGCATTCGCCGAAAATGATTGAAATCTATATCTACTCGCACAATTGTTTACCCTTTCTTGCATGATCGGCTATCACGAGTTCCAGCAAATTTGATTTTGTGATGTAAAATTTTAAAGCACGGCTTAATAAGCAAAATCTGAATTCAAATGCAATGCAAGCCTATCCTATCCAGTAAGTAATGACTTTTCTACGAGTTAATAACTTCAGCTTCGATATAATTGATGAGCTTTTCCAACTACTGTAGCTCTTATAAAATGACGAATAAAAACATTTTATATTATTTTACTGAATAACTTGGTTGCATCTATTTGGATAAAATATTCATATGGCATGAATTAAAGAATAGATTACTATGGAGACCAAAGTTAACCAACTTGTCTTGAATCTATATCCAAAACTTTACCCTCGTCTGATTTAGTTGAATTTTATACCGCACATAAAAATGCTTCAACTTTGGCGAGATTTAGCTTATCCCCGAATGTGACACTAGTAGCCTAAATTAGTTGACGACGTGATGAAAACTTCTTCTTTATAAAAAGAATAGATGCTATATAACTTTTAAATAAGCTTCAGTGCAGCAGTTATTAAATCAGTCGCTGATAGTAATAATAGGTTAAATCATTTTAAAATTTCGCTTCTATAGATTTCGATTTATTTTTAACTTACGATTATTACAACTGTTCGTTTTTACCGCCAATCTTGCTAGCGTTGCAGTTGATGTACGATAAGTTTACGTCAAATTTACACCTGTATATCAAAGTATATAACCTTAAAGAAAGATGAGAAATAGGTAAGTCTAAAGCAGAAATATTGATACTAACCATTCCTATTAGCCTTGCTGTCTTAATAAATAGCGGACGATGGGATTTGCAGAGTGAAAAAATCGAACTTTTTTTTGAATTTTAGCCGATATAAAGTCGTTATATGTGAATACTTTGGAGTGATGAGTACTCCTGTGCTTTATAAGCTAGCTAAAACGGAATGGGACTATGGCGTACCAAGGTAAAAATCATCACGCATACAAGTGTACGCTTTGCCCATTCCCAGTACGTCAAAGTAAATAGACAACAAAATAGGATTTAAATCTACCAAATTTGTCCTTGTAAGCATAGAGAGTATAGGATTTATAACAACAGTTGATCTAGTACTGTTAAAATAAAAGATTAAGTCAGATATAATAATATAATATAATAGAAAATTGTATTGCGAAAGTCTAAACTACTTTGTAGATACTATCCAAGAGCAAATACAGAAACCTTAGTAACGACATAAACGATACTGGCATGAGATATAGCAGAGATCTATTAAAAAGTCTTTGAGGTCTTTAAGAAACGAGTAGTTAATACTATTAAAGCATATTTGATTTAGCTACAGAATAACTATTTAGGATAGATCTCTATACTTTGGTCCTCAATGGCAAAATTGTCAGTTTAGGCTGCAAAGACACGATACACGCCTAAAGATTTTAAAATATCGTTTAATTATTTATAACAATATAAATTTAAAATAGAACTTCTAGCTTTGAAATACATATAGTAGGAGAATTATTAAGGTTGGTTCTCGTTATGAGTTAAAAGTCCAAGCCGCACAATTTTAAAAATTAACACTAGTGTATATTTGAGCTATAACAACGATCGTCATGTCTATGTAAAGCAATGATCTTTGGCCAATTTCTGTTAAAACGAAAACCAAAAGTCTATTTAGAATATTGTCGATGATTTGTAAATTAGATTAGAATAATGCCACACTAGTATAATCTATCACACAGCTGCTAAGGGTTAACATTAACGAAATTAAAATTGTTATACTCGTATTATATCAACTGTTGTTGACATTTACTAGACTAAATCGGTTGAGATGTATTAATGTTCTAATCTTTTTTGATTTATGTAAACAGAGGTTTTTTAATTAACCTTCTTAAACGAGATGATCCAGATAAACCTTCATCCAAAATGCTATTAGGAAAAGTAACATTATCTGAGGTAAATTAATTACCAGGGATGAAATAATCATCCTAAATGATGCTAAAGACCCATGAATTTATTAAGGATTTCATTTGGCTAACGATAGGCTTCTTCATTGCTAGATGATACCGTTACTTAAAGAGCAAGTTTTTCAAGCTGCTAAAGCTAATAAAATGCCTGCAATTGTTCTTAGCAATGTCATTGATGAGTTTCTGTCATCAATAAACGATTTAAAAGTCAACATTTTTCTGCTTCGAAGTTTGCAACGACTAAGAAATTTAGGTCGATTTATCTATAACTGCTTATTATGCTAACTTAGCACGAATAAATATATTAGGCGATAATTTCTTGATTACGTTCACGATCTACTTTAATTTATTCAATAGGATATAAGACATGCCTGCTAGCCAACACTTGGATTAATGATTATCATTCTACTGAATATTCTGCAAGGATGAAGTTATTTATTAAATCAAATTTCGATTACTGTTACGAATCAAATCAAATTCAATTAGTCAGACCAGATACACAAATCTACCACTATGCACTCGACCAGATGGGATTTAAGCCAGAAGAGGTGCGTATATGTGTGCAATGCTTATTCCTCTTCTAATAATTAATATAATAAGAGATCAAATATCCCCTGATATCTACCTTTGTTCATAGATTTAGCAGTACCAATCTAAACAACATTAGTATCTCACTTCACGTGTAAAAATTTTTCATCTACAGGCAATCTCAATTGAAGCGGTTGAGGCCTACGCAGCAGCAGCCCAAAGTATAGGAATAACAGCAATATTGGCAGTTGATCAGCCAACAATCATACAAAAATTAGAGAATATCTTTCAAGTCAATGTAAAATACTTGATTTTATTAAGTCGATGTAGCTCATAACGAAAATTAAGCTATCCTACAAGATTAATTGCTGGTTGTAATATGCGTATCAAAATATTACAGCTCAAAACGATACCTAGACCTCCTGCAGCTACTGAAAATAATGTTATCCATGGCCAAGTTGTCACCAAGGTTTTGCTTAACTTACTTAAATAGCATGATTAATAAATATTTATGCCATGCGTAATCGCTTTAGATCCAACTGCTAACAACAAGCTAAATATTTGTTAATGTCTTGTTACTCTACTGAAATGAACCTTCTCCCTTATGGACGATTGTCAGAGCGGAATAAAAATTAAATTTGTAGAAAAAGGGAATGGTCTTCCGATTATTTTATGCCATGGCTTTCCGCATTATTGGTATAGCTGGAGATATCAGGCAAGATAGAATTCATCATATGGCTGTTAATTTGCTATTATAACGGTGTAGTAATTTAGAATTCATACTGTTTTAAGTTAATATTGCTATTTAATATCAAGAAATTTAAGCAGCATCAAACTGATATTGCTAAGTATAAATATGGCTTAGCTTAAAAGTAACTCGCTATCACTATTTTGGTATATTTATTTACTTATTTAATAGAGAGTTTTAAAAGACATTCTTTTTAATGGTGTTGTTTAAATAATATTAAATTATATAATCAGCCGCCATCATTAACTGTTATGAGTTATTTTACTGTAGATTCCCTATCTTGCCAAGCTAGGCTATCGAGCTATTGCCCTTGATTTACGAGGATTTGGTCAATCTAGTTGTCCACCAGGTAGTGACCCACAAATGCTAGTGAATAGAACTCATTGATTGCTTTTAAAATACTTTCTAATGCAAGAAAGAAAATACCAAGCCTGAATAAATATTTCAGATTATTCAAAACTGACATCATACATTTCTAGTTTATAATTATTTATGATCTGGTGAATTATCGTTTGTAAATTAGATATTGAAGACTATACCGCAGATAAAATTGTGCAGGCAAGTACATACTAGTATATTAGTGGTATTTCTGCAACATAACAGACGTAAATCGAATGCAACAATATGCACTAGCGTCTTAATCATTCTAGAAACGTAATCATGTTAAAGATTGTTGCCAACTTAGCAGATTGTATACTTCTTTCTTGCACAGGATGTCATTGATACCATGGATTCATTGGTAAAACTAGAACAGAATAAATACTTATACGCCTTATAAGCATGAAATAAAATAATAATTTATCGTCGACGCTGAAATTTTTGCTTAGTAATTTAATTGATTCAAGTTAGAAATTCTTTCGATCTTGATCTAGCATAATTTATTAAAATTATATACAGTTTATACACAAAGCGATATTAATTGGCCACGACTTAGGCAGTATCATTGCTTGGTTTTGTGCTTTACATTTTCCAGATCGTGTTGAGTAAGTTGGCCGCTGAACTATTTTACTAACTTCGTTATTAAAGTTAGACTTATAGATTGTTTATTAATTATAAATGGATTATATTAGAGCCGTAGGCAGTCTAAACGTACCATATAAACCTCAACATCGATATAAGAACTTTCTACAACATATCAAAAAAAATCCGAGACAATTCGATTATCAGTTTTACTATCAGCAAGAGGTAATATTTTTTAATAAATGCTTTTAGAAAGAAAAACACAAGTAATTTGTATTATTTAGATCGATACAATAGTACGAGTGATTTCCATGTGAAGGAAATAATTAAAGCAATGACCAGTATTTGTCGAATATTTGATTCAAAAAAATCGCATGAGAATAATTCTACTAGGCTGGTATCATGTTTAATCTATCAATAGCACTCTTGTGAATAGATAAGAATCTAAATTTTTTGTATTGAAAATATTATCCAACGTATTACATGCGTTTTAGCACAAATTTTTAGTTTATGTACTTAATGATTGTGTAGGGTAAAGCAGAAGCTGAACTTGAGAAAGATTATAAACGCACATTTAACGTTTATTTAGGAGATTATGGTCCGATTGTAAGTTCAAATTGGCCCATTAAGTGTATTGTATTACATTTTTCGTAGCTATGATTGGACGCAAAATATTGACTCAAATTTAACTTAAACATATTTATGTGTAACAATCTAGAGCTGGTTAAAAGATAAAGTAGATTTTAGTACTGTTCGGAAGAGAGGTGCGTTCTATGGATGGTTTTAATGCGAGCTTGAAAAGTAGAACATTTTGCTTAGGAAATACTACTAACTTTAATATAATTTTAAAAAAGAGTACAGTAGTCATTGCAATTAAAATTTTATTTTTTTAAGAGTAATTTAGTTCGACGTAGATATTTCCATTTCACTATTTTAGCCATAAATGAGATATAAATTAACACAAATGATCTTAACATCAAATAATCGTTATTGCATACCGTATATATTCTATTCCAGTTTTTAACTACCATATTTTGCTACAATAATGGGATTCAGTGATTTTTATTAAAAAAATTGTGTTGAAGTTAATTTCTATGCTAAATAGGATGTCTTTACTTTACTTCTCTCTTTTCTTTTTTAGAAATAATATTTTTATACTCTATTAGGCGGCATACTAGTAGGCTTACCAGAGGAACTACCAGATACGCCCTTCTTAACCGAAGAAGAAATGCAAGAGTACATTAAGACTTTTAAGCAAACTGGATTTAGGTAATACTGGAATAAAGCGATAGTACATCTATACCAGGAATGTTTTTAAGGCTTGCAGTATAGTCTTCTACATTAAAATGGTAAATAACTAAAATTTGGAATCCCGGAGATAGCGTTTAAGTTAAGGCTGAGCTATTGTAAAACTGGACATTGAAATTCAATATTAGTAGGCAAAATTCCAGTCATGTAATTTATAAGATTGCTTAAAATATTAATCTGTTCATACGCGGACTCTTTGAAAGCCGAAAGATATACTTAAAATGATATACGAATATACCATATTAAAGTCAACAAAGAATACCTTTTAATGATACACTGCTAATATGGATATCTTAACGTAGACCTGGATTAAATTACTATCGCACCTATCCAAAAACTTGGAAGTGGAATCTTAAATTTATTGGTAGACAGGTAAATTTTATATTTCCTTATACATGATATTTCAATCAATTGGCTTACAATATTCAGTAATTTTGATAGGTATTGGATGTTTGAGTTCTTACGTTAATTTTGGTAGTTTCAGCGATTAATCGTTACCGTTTCATTTCGTATAACCTGTCGCTGATAAAATTTCGCCATTTCCTAGCCTTACTAAGTATACTGTTGAAATAAGGCATGATGATCAGGCGTGAATGCACTTGGTGTTCTATCTCTAGGTTTCTCAGCCGGCGTTAATAGTCGTCGCAGAATACGATAATATATTTCGACAGGGACTTGTTAAAAATATGGAGAAATATGTACCTAATTTAACCACGTATAGCTTAGATTGCGGCCACTGCATTCAGTTTGAAAGGTACTTTTAATATCGATTAAGATAAAGAGGTTATTTACAAGCTGAAATAAAAATATTTTAAATTTTAATAAATGTCCTCTCAATATCAATTTCCATCCTACGATCTTCCTTTTTGCGAAGATATTTAATTGAATTTATAAATCGTAATAATGCGCTGGTACATTTGCCCTTTGATAATACAACTTACTATACAATAATTGTACTTTCAGACCTGGGGAGCTCAACGAAATACTAAGAAAATGGCTGGAGAAAGTCTGTCCTAGTCCTTCTATTTCCTTAGGGCAAGTTTTTTCTCAGTCCAGTATTCAAGGCAATTTATCTAGTCTATTCCGTCGTTTCTAGCACAATTTTTTAACATAATAACTGAAACCTGGTACGATATCTAATGATATAAAAACACTTACAGTAAATATTAGAAGATTTACCAAATATTTTCAAATATTTTTAAAGCCTGGTTATTGCTTAATTAGTAGAAAGGTTTTAATTCAGAGAATTAAAATGATTATACACTAACTTGCACTCTGTAAACTTTGGAATGTACATGATGCAAGCTTAGGCATGAATAAAAGATTATAACCTACATATTATTTACAATTAATAATATGTTAATAACAAACAATTCCTATTATTAAACAAGGTAGTCAATACGACATCAATCTAACGGTATTTATAAACATCCAGGCTGAGATCGATAGAAAGCCTGTATTGACATTATTCAATTTCACGAATAAATACAGCAGTTGCTGAATACGCGTGTGGTCTGTAAATTAGGAAGTAATTTAATAAGGAATCTAGCATTAAATGCTGTTAAACAGTCCACTATCACAATAGAAATAAATGACATCAGTCCAAATTTAGCATCTAATGCATCGCATAATCTTTGTATATATATATTTGACTTTATATTTATAGTGAATCATGATTATTAAATATTGACGAAAGCAAATGAATGAGAAATTGATTTCTTCAGTATCTAGTCCTTAATAACACAATTCTAGATAAATAATTATAGAAGTAGGAGATGTGAATATTAGTAATTTATCACCGTAGTTATCAGAATGCTTGCATGGATAAAAATCTGTTATGAGACGAATAAGAAAATATGGTGTAAAAACAGAAACACCTGGAATATGGATAGGATTAGGCAGAGAATATATAAATAGGTATCTGGAATCATTCTGCCATAGTGTCAAAAATAATATTTTCGGTTACTTTACTTAGCCCGTATATTAATATGTATCGACTTAGATAATATGCTTACGAGTGATTGTTGATAATGATTAAAAAAAAAACCAACTGTGAGAATTGTAGGGAAAGATTAAGTCTGCAATTATCAAATGTGCATCCATCTTAATGCTCTGTCGTGACTAATACCCTAATATGACGAATGATGCAAATATCATATCAATTTAGGCCTGATTCATTATTATTCTCTTGACAAGATTGATCAGTGATAGGTAAAACTTTGAGAGACTCTTCGTAGCGTCCGGTTTTATAAAGAGATTTCAATTCTTCAATTTTCGTCCCAGCTTAAGAGTCTAATCAGTTTAAAGACAAATTCAACTTCATTTCGATGAAGTTTATAACAATCTTATTTCCGCTCTTAGATAAATAGGAATTCTAATTTGTTTTCTTGTACATACCAGGGTCTTAAATTTCGTTTTAGATGCTTTAATTGGAAAAAATAGAACTAAAACTAAGATGCAAATACAGTAGTTTATACCGACATCTAGCATATGAACTGATTATTTTAAATATGCACAACGGACAGTAGCACTAACGATACGTTGAAACTAAAGACGGTGTCTACTTAATAGTGTCAAGTTAGAGATTTGCTCCATTTTGATAACTTAAATTTTGAGTTAGTGATCGTGAACTCAAATGGTTTAGAACCCACTCACCACACTGGCACTGTCGATATCAAATCATGCTTAGAGTACAGTCCAGATTCAGGCTTAGAGTGTGCTGTAAGTTGCTACAACATTTTCATGTGATAACATCATTAAAGGAATCGGATTTTCACTGTAATTACTTAATAGGATATCTGCTAGGTTTATAAGCATATGTATTGAGTAAATCGAGGGTTTCTTCTTGTTGCTAGTTTATTGCAGATACAGCTACTGTTTGTTTTTCCTTGTAATAAAATTGAACATGGTTATATAAATCTCGATAGTCTGATTTATATTGGAGCCTTAGAATTAGCTTACTATACGCTATTTAAGCCAAAGCAGCCGAACGAGAATTCAGAACGAATATACATGTACTGTTTATATTCACAATGCTAATTTGCTGAATCTCTTGAGGTACGATGACTATAGTACGCACGATGACTAAAATTTATGCTATTTTGGAAGATAGGTAAATTGATTTATTATAGGGTCTATAAAATAGATACAACCAGACTCCAAATAGGTATGCGAAAAGAAAAGGCAATAGTAAAATTAATACAAGTAAATATTTGATTGCTTTTAACAAATCAAGTCTAGTTTGCTTTCCTCTTTCATCTCATAGAGGCTGTACAAATGCACACTCCACTCGATAATTAATATACAAATTAGCTGAAAATTACTTTATGACAGATGATAGTCTTAATACAGAGTGTAAAGAGTATTAAATTTGCTTACGTTTTTTGCTTTATATTTAAAGAAATAGAATTTAATCGATTTTAAGTAGTCGTTAAATAAAGCACAATATCGACTACATGTACGAATACAGTTCCGTTCTTAATAGGATTAATAGTTATAATCAATTTCTCAATCTATGATACCGTACTTACTATTCGAAAGACAAGCATTACACTGAAAAATATGCCATTACGCAACAATATTTTCATGTTTTAGTGGGCTTAATAGCCAAAGCAATATCGTTCCTATCTATTCGTCGTAAAGCTGCTTGAAGCTGATCAACATGTACATTTGGATAATTTTTTTTATGCCACTTCTTGAGAAATTTCATCGCTTGGTCAAAAATCCCACTCTCTTCATCCTTAATACTATCAACATCGATGGATTGATCCAAAGTTGCAGCCAATTTTGTCCAATCCAAACCAATTGTATTTGCAATTTGGAAAAAGTGCTCCTTTGGATCTATAACGTTACATTAATATCGCAGATGAATTAAAATGCAAACAATAAAACAAGATATACTCTTAAATGAAACTTATAACCGATATTAAATGATAGCTTGTAAATGCTCGACTTTGCCATATTGATCGAATGCGAAATATAAAATAAAACAAACTTGAACTGCATATGTATCGTGTATGTAAAAGTAGCCGGAGTGCACAAGTAGAATCTAATGAATCGCGTACAGGATATCAATTTGTTTTCATCTACAGCAAAATACTAACATAACCACTACTCGATCTATATTTTGTACGCGGTTTAGTAGCACCTACCGTAAATATTGCATGTTCGGTAGTCGTATTTAATTAATAAAAACTGCATGCATAAGCAACAACTTATACTACCACTGCATAATATAATTGCAATGCTAATTCATTTATTTCGACATTATTATTTCAAAATATAATCAATTTTCGTTTGTTGATTCAAGCATTTTAGAAAGTAATCAAAACATAATGATGTAGCTGTTATATCTTTACTATGTTACTAACATATTAATTGATGGAAATAACATTGATTTAGATACTTCGTTTTGCACGTTATATGTATTCGTATAACTACTTGTTTTCTGTTTAAGATCGTTCAATTCTAGTGGCTGGAAAGCTGTCAAGTCTTATATTGGTAAGAATGATTGATGTTTCTCAATAAAAAGAAATAATAAAGTTTCCTTACAAATGAGGGCTTCAATTTAAAAATGATCTATTATCTTGGTGGTTGGCAAAGTTTTCTTCATGTAATGCTACTTCCAAGCTCATTCTGTTTGAATATTAAGTGTTGTCAAGCTGAAAAAAAATAAAATTCTATATTTATATATTATTGTCTTTGTCAGTGATGATGTACGATGACCAGAATTTGCAGTATTGATATGATCCATCTAATGATGATATTGAACAAATCTAGAGTAGAAAATGATAATGAAGGCATTTCCCTTGCTGATACTGTACATGTTTGTTACGATGCGTAAGCTCGTCCTAATTATTCCATCATTAATATCAATATTATAATACTTGATTAATTCCCAGCAATCACAAGAAGTAATTCGTCAACATTAATTTTATCACTACATTCTTGACTTATAGTTGGAATACAGCGAACCGATACTGGTAGTTAAATTGCTCTAGAGATGCGAACAAATTGCTAAGGTACTAAGTAAGGTACCAAATTACAGTTTGAGTTAAAATTAAAATCATATATTTATGATACATTTAGCTTATCTAAAGGACTTTACTTCAAATGTTTTCTTTCTTTTAAAAGCGGTACATTAGTAAGAATGCAAATGTTACTATGAAGAATCATGCAAAACTCGTAATTGTGAACTTCAGGCATAATAAGAACCCACTGTAGAGATTTCGCTAGATTTGTGAACATTTTAAAGTAAGAATTTTACTAACTACTTTCTTTGAAATATAATTCCGCCAAAATTAATAATACAATGTAAACTATGAGTATATGATAAATGACGCGTAAGATTAATTTTCATAATTCTACCTCGTTAATGATTTCACCTTTAAAAATCTTTTCACGATTAATTACCATCCCCCTACCTAGGTGTGATTAAAAGAATTTACTAAAGAAAGACTGATAATCTGGAAAATCAAATGGAATATTCTCATAATGCAGCTCACTTCCCTTAGATTCATATCTGCACACTGATTTGGCTACCGAACTATTAGCAGTATGGACGACTATACATATCAGTCAAATAAGGCAACAAATGGCAGTGTTTTAATATTTTAGAACCTGCTTCTAGAATATTGCAACAGTTAGACTGTAACGGCTATTGTAGCTTCATATCTACCGGGCATCGGATTGGTTGCTAATTTAGTGTTATTACATATTTTTGTAACTTATACTTACTTTCATAAATAGACCTATTATTTGATGC